TGTAAAATAAGTTATTTATTCACAGCTTCGACCAACAAAATAGTTGATAAACTTACTATGGATGCTTTATTTTCAGGAGCAAATACAATTAAGTCGGCATGGAGAAGCAGAACACAGAGCTGTACTTGAAGAACTGCCATATTATTCTTGAAAATGAGAGGCTAAGAAAGAAAGCACAACGGCTCGACCAGGAGAATCGGGCTCTGTTATCTCAGCTGCAGCACAGACTTTCAGAACCAAGTTCTGGACAAAAAAATGAAATCAACGACACTCCAAATTCCGTGAAAGATCATAGGAAATCCAACAAACCTTGATCATTATAACCCATGTAATCAATTTCGTGTAAAATAAGGTTTTTCTGTATTGTTTAATTCTTCAAAAGTATTAATTAATAATCGTGCCTTTATACTTGTTTGGACAATTTGTGAGACGAAATAATGTAATAAATGTTTGTATTTGTTACAAAAGTAAACATATAAGACCCTAATGTATAGTATCCTCTTTATAGGGACTTGTCTTGTAAATATATGTAACTTATGTATATATGTATAACCTAAGGGATTTTTATGAAATAAGAAGAAACGGATTCTCTCCCTCTCCTGTGTCTCGTGAGCTCGTGAGAAGTTACAGTATTGAATAAATATGCTATTACCGTCCTTTTATTTCAAGTCCCTTGATCAAAAGATACACTACTTCGTTAACAATTTAGTCCATGTTTGACAATCATTATTTGAAAACTCTTTCAATCACGCATTCACACAATAAAATATTATACACATAAACTCAAAATTTTTTCATACTTTTTAACTACACATCTGCTACAAAGTACTATTCAAAACATTGTTTTTCGAAAATAATTATAGATAATTATCTCTAACGTCTATAGAACCTTACCAAGTATGAGTTAAACCTATTTCGAACTTCATGAAAACAAAACAAGCCAAATTTACGTTCAAAACTTGATCATTCATTCAAACATGAATTGAAACATTGACATCATCAATCAATCAACACAAATCAAGAATAAAAAGATGAAATCTTGAATTAAAACATCAACTAAGATTATATCATCATCCTAGGCACCGTAAGTTTAACCTAGCATGTTAATAATACAAAAAATACATAAACGATTGAGTATTCATACCTGAAAAACTTAGTTACAAAGAGAAGATTTAAGATGAATTTTGTTTGCCGCCTTTCAATTCCTTCAATGGAGTCTTCAATAAATCCCAACTTTTCTTACTTCAAATAATCATCTCGTAAGGTGAAGCATAAGTGACGAATAATTAGGTCAATTATCTCGTGAGGCAAGGCATTATTAATGATGTTAAGAATTAGGGTTCCATTTTAAAAGGTCAACCTTATTAAGAGGAGTAACACAATCATTTATAAGTTGGTTTATGTTTACATCTTTATTCTATATGAGATTTTATCCTTTAACATACCCCTGTAAGATGGTGGCTCGTTTGAGCAGTCCAATCTTAAAATTCGTATGCTCACTTTTGGAATCTTAACCAGGTCGAATTGCTTGTTAGAACTTAATGGACTATAATACCACGTTAAGAATTGGGGTTCCATCTTAAAATGTCAACTTTATTAAGATGAGTAACCCAGTCCTTTATAAGTTAAACCATGTTTACATCTTTATTCAATGTGTGATTCTATTCTTTAACAAATGAAATGTCGGAATTTATGGTAGATACGAGAATTATTTATCTTTTTACAAAAAAAAAAAATTCTTAAAAAAGTCCCTCCAATATTTTTTACCTAAGTCAACCAAGTTGGTCGAACCGATTATGAATGAATCAGGAAAATATTATATGGACTAACTTGGAAATTTGCAAGAACTTCATTGACCAATTGCAAAATTAACTCTTGATAGTCCATAACTACTATAAATTCACACAATAATCGGACCTATATTCACTAATTGCACTAGTGGAAAAGATTGCCGGAAGGAACAATGGGAAAATAATGTGTAAAACAAAACGACTGTGGTGGCTTCAATAAAGTGGCACTTTGTTAGTCTCAACGACGTGCATTAATGCCACCTAAGGACGGACGCAAATATTTTGAATTGGGGTGATACAATCAAACACTGTACAGATTGAATACTTTATTCTAGATTTTTGAATGATTTATGCTTAACTCGAAAAAATGCAGATTTACATTTAAAAAACATTCAATCATTAAAATTTTGTTCATCATTTTCATCAATTTGATTTTGAACAGTCATTTTATTAGTATTTTACTTATCACAAGAAAATGCATAATTACGTTTAAAGAATTTATAGGGTATTTGATACAAATAATCAATTAAAATAATTAATTCAAGTAATTGAAAGGAAAAACATATATATCCATATGAAAAGACACATCTTTTCATCTACATTCTCTAGAATATTCCACAATATTCTACACAATTCCAATAATTTCAAGTATTAAGTGGTTTAAGTTTGGCTTAATTTCTCATTCACCAAACAAGGAATTTCCACTTAAATCATTTCAATTGGTCACAACCAATTTCCAATACAAAATTCCAACACAATCAACACGCAGCTTTGCACCACTAGGATATGCAGACATTGTTCATTGTTGTTACATAATATTATTGCCGTTTAAGCATCAGTCGGACTGTATATTTACCGTTCGTACAAACTTATGCATTTACGCTTCGATTCCTCTATAGAAGATGAACATTTGGAAGATAGATATACGTTTTGTTGGTTCTACATTTGAGGTTTTAATTTATCGGTGAAGGTTTGGGGTTTGTCTTTTCTTTATAAATAAAGGGATTGTACTTTCCGGAGTTTTATTTTTAGTATTTCAGCTTGCTGTGTAATTATACTCTTTTTATTCACATTTATATTGTCTAGTGAAATTTGAACGTACTTCACGGATATGGATAATCAAAGAGACAGACGTAGATATTTTAAGTTAGTGGCATAATTAAGCTCTGTTCAAATCGAATACCTTGTTCTTGATTTTTGAATGATTCATATTTAACCCAAGAAAATATAGATTTACATTTAAAAAACATCTATTCATTAATATTTTTCTCATTATTTTTATCTATTCGATTTCGAACAGTCATTTTATTAATTTTTTGCTCATCATAAGAAAATACGTATTTACATTTTAAAAATTTATAGTGTATTTGATATAAAAAGTCAATTCAAGTAATTGAAAGGAAAAACATATAACCAATATTCAATACTAGAAATCAATAAAAAAAACACAATTCGTTAAATATAAGTCACATTGAACATAACTATTTCAGACACATTCTATATACATAATTTGATGAGAGTAAATGCAAATTTAGGTTCTAATTAGTTGAAAATTTGATTGTGAAGTAAAGATTTGTTGTAGATGTGATAATTTGTAAGATTGTAGATAAATTTTAAAAAATTAGAAGGGTTAAGGTTTTGGTAAAAAGTGCCGGGGAGAAAGTCAAGAAATAGTAAGAAAAAGGAGACAAAGTTCGAATTTATTATGATTTTGCCTTTATCTGGTTGTGATTAAGATTAGACTTTTAGTTGATTTTGATAAAAAATGAAAAATTGTGAATCTCATGAAATATGATATTAAAATTAATTGTTAACTTTAATTTAGATTTCTATCTATATCAGAAAAAAAATATTATAAAAAAAAAATCCCAAAAGTTGGGGGTTACATGACCCCACGACCCCACTGTGTCTGCCAGTGATACGACCCCGATGTTCATGCCTCTATTTTATTTTAAAATATTTCACTTTGCTCGGATATCTAATGTTATGCCTTGTTTGATAGGCAAGGAATTCCTTGGAAAATGGAATTCCATTTTCTCACTTTTTCCCTGTTTGATTAACCAAATTTGCCTTGAAATTCATTTTCACTTTTTTCCTTCACGCGCCATCTTTTCCCACATTTCAATGAAAATGTTTTCCTTTGGTTTTGTTGGAAATTCATTCTCCAGACTTTTTTTTTGTTTGCAATTGAAAAAAATTCTAGACACAATGGTAAAAAATTTTATTACTTTTATTGACTATTTCCATGAAAAACAAAGTCAAACGAATGGTATTCAGTATTATAATTTTTTTTTATTTTTTTAACTTTTTTATTTTTTTATTTTTGGCAATTGAAATAAATTCTAGACTCGTGGTAGAAAAAATTATAACTTTAATGGACATTTTCCATGAAAAATAAAATCAAATGGATACCAAACTTTCAATATTTTTCAGGAGGAAAATTATACAAATCAAACACAATTAATTACAATTCACAATAAAACAATTTCCAGGCAATTTAATTCCCAGTAAAATATTTTTTTTCCACCCATTTTCCACATTTACAATCAAACGGATTTTTTTTTTCCTATGATATTGAATCAATTGTTTATTTTTCATTTCAAATTGAGCTATTTTATTATTTATTGAATTTGGAAATTGGAGTTTCCAATCCCATTATTTTTCAAATGTTGATATTGCATTAACAAACGATAAAAACAATTATTTGTACGGTGGTAAACATGTAAGAAAGTATATCATACACGTTGTATGATTGTATCATTTGACTTAATTGCTGCAAATCGAAGTATAATGATAGACTGCAATTAAGGGAAAAGTTTCATAACCTCCAATGTTATTAATATGCGACGTCGGTTTTTTTGTTATTTTCGACTGACGAGTTAGCAAATTCTGGCAAGCACATAAACAGAATCCAAACAAAGCGAGATGTTTGCTTTTAAATTAAAGTTTAATAGCTTAATTGCTCTAAATAAAAGTTTAATAACCTAATTACAATTAGACGAAAGTTCAATGACCTACAATTTAATTAACATGCGTACCGTGTCCTTACGTAAGAAACAGTGTCACATCTCTCTCTCTCTCTCTCTCTCTCTCACACACACATATTTAAGTTGCTGTTAGAGACAAAAAAGAAAATAATAAATAAATAAATAAATCTAAGACCCATTTGATTGCAACGACTTTTATGAAAAATGTCACGTTCGAGGAAAACGAATTCTACTTTGACAGTTTAATTACATCGTGAAAATGGAAACCGAATTCAAAAATATAATTACTTTAAACTACATTTTCTTTATTTTCATGGAAAACGAATTCCTAAAGATTTGATGTGTTTTTATTTTTTAACTAACATAGAATTGAAATTTCTATCCACATTTACCTGTCCAACTAAGTTCATGTTTGTTTCCTATTCTTTCAAAATTTATTTTTCTATATGTTCTTTTTTAACTATACATTCATATAATAAATATTTTACACGTAAATCCAATTTTTTTTCCTATTTATAATCATCTTTTCTCTAAAAAATTACTATAAAAATAATATTTTTTTTTCAATTAACGTGGAGACCAAATAGAGGCTAATATATCTCAAAGTCACGACTGGTCCACCACTTCATAATTGACACGTTTTTATATACCCAACCAACCAACCAACATCTGTACAGTCAAATTTTCTAATAATTACTTTTAACGTAAACGCTGACTGAGTGGTTATATATTTCATTTTTTTTTAGCTTTGCTACTCGTACAGGGGATTTAACACTGGGGGCCCACAATTATTTTAATCATCGTGGACCCCCCACTTGTGAGGGGGCGTGGTTTAGCATTTTTCTTTCGCATATAAATAAGCATCGAGATTGGTGGGTTGAATCATTTTTCAAGGTATTTGCAGCTCAAGAATTTCCATTTCCTTGCACTGTTTCTCCTTCTCTTACTTCTTCAGGTTCTCTCTCTTCCTCACTCTCTGTTTGTGTGTGTGTGTTTGATCATGCTTAATGTGGTTGAGATCAATTATTACACCTTAAATTATGATTTTCAAGATGCGATTTGATTGCAGTTTTAAATGGGCTGTGTGTTAACATACATACATACTTCCATTTTAACTGGGAAGAAAGAAATTTATTTAATCACTTGAACTTGATATGACTGCAGCAGCAGAACTGAGATAAATTGAATTCTGACTAGTTTTTAGAGCTTATTCATGTGTGGCTGTGTTTAAAAGTTAACTTTTCTAGAAAAGTACGTATTTTTAGTAAAAAAAATAAATTTTAGAGCATAATTTTTGAGTATGTGATCTTTTTTCGGGAGTATATGTATTTCTGGGATTGTGAGAGTGAATAATTTTAACTGAATAGCAGGTCTTAAATTTATTTTCCAAAAGTGACAACTATATTTTGTCATTTGACAAAATGATTCTGCAAAATGGTGCCTACAGTCTCATATTTTTGGGAAAAATTACCAATAAATTCTCACAGTAAGAACGCCTTTTGAAAAAATTCCTTACCTGGAAATGGTAGTTATGCTTCATTTTTATAGAGTTGAGAGTACATATATCTTATTTTCCATACCGACCCATGAAACTATCCTTTATATATATCGAAGACATTGTATAGATTAACACAGTATGTTTATTTGCTAATTTTGTTAAACATTCAGAGGAAGAGGGGAAAGATATAAATGTATAGTTGAATATGGTGATCTAGTGAAAAGTGAACAGAAATTGTAATACCTCGACATTTCTTACACATTTAGTGCATGTTTGATATGCAGAGTCAACAAACATGATTTTAACTTCTTTTACTTCTTTAATACTATCGGATACTATCCAATCTTTTGTGCCAAACATGTCATTATAGTACTGACCTTCCTCACTTATGATATTCTGTAAATTATAAATCTATATCCTGTATACCTAGTTTAGTCAATGTAATAAAACATTTCTTATTTCCTCCACAGTTTCACCAAACCTTATGTATGAAATCATGCATCCATACCCATGCCATGTGTTCTGAATATATGTTCCCGAAGAAGAAGAATTAGGGTCCAATACTAAATTTCTTACTTTTCATTCATACTTGTACAAGAAATATTAACTACTATGTTATATATTTTCAGCAATGTCTTGGAAAATCATAGTAGTCTTGTTGATTGGCTCTCTAGCATGGGCACAACAGGCCTTTTGGCCTCCACTTCCCCGTATTTGCGGTTCTCTTGGTGGTCCACCTGTCACAGCACCCCGAATCAAGCTTAGAGATGGAAGATATTTGGCATATAAAGAGCACGGAATCCCAAAAGAAACAGCAAAATATAAGATTGTCTTGGTTCATGGCTACACTGGTGGTCGACATGACGCTTCTTTTTCTACATCGGTATTATAATGACTGGACGTTAAATTAGTTCTTGGTTCATTGACTGAAATTTTGTGGTTGCTAATGGATTAGATGTATTTTTTGACCTTTTAGGCATTAGTTGAAGAATTTGGGATATACATTGTGACTTTTGACAGACCAGGATACGGAGAGAGTGATCCGGATCCAAAACGAACTATAAAGAGCACAGCTTTAGATATAGAAGAGCTTGGTGAACAATTACAACTTGGTGCCAAATTTTATGTCATTGGGATTTCCATGGGAGGACAGGTTGTCTGGGGCTGCCTCAAGTACATTCCTCACAGGTAATGTGTAGATAAATCAATTATGATCGAGCTTCTGGTATTTGCAAAGATTTACAGTTTAGGATTCTGAGGGAATTGGATAAAATGAAGAACGTTGATTTATATGGACAGACAAATAGTTGCTATAATAAGAAAAATAGCATCATTGGTATGTATGGTAAGGTCGTTTGGATTGTATAGAACAATGTCAAGAAAAAAAAACCCAAATTTTGTTTATCATATAGTATTTTTGTATACTAAATAAACACGCCATTTGGGAAAAATACCGGTCTCCCGAGGATAGATAGTACACCATGTTGCTTGACATGTATTTGGGTTTGTTCCACGTTCACTGACAAATATGGAAATTGCCCTAATTAAGTTACAGTAGGTTAAGACTTTACGACATAATTCATATTTGCTAGTAAAACTAGTAAAAATTTGTCTGAATCCTCAAACTCTTGTCACCTTCTGCTGCATTTCTGGTAGTTCTTTTAGTTTCTTTAATTCTTATATGCTGGCAGGTTGGCTGGAGCAGCATTGATTGCTCCAGTTATCAATTACTGGTGGCCTAGTTTTCCTGCAAACTTATCTACAGAAGCATACAATCAACAGCCCTTAGAGGACCAGTGGGCACTTCGAGTGGCACACTATATGCCCTGGCTCGTCTACTGGTGGAACACTCAGAAGTGGTTTCCTTCCTCTACTGTTACGGCTGGAAAACCTAATCTTTTGGCCCCAGATTTGAAAATTGTTTCCAAAATAGCTGGAAGAACGACCAGAAGGGTACTCATTCTGTTATTGTTGCAGTATATTGGTGAATGCGAATGATATACCATTAGGCCCCTGTTTTGAGCCCCATCCTATAAAAATTCATTTTTCTCGAAATTCATTTCAACCACACATTCTCCCAATGAAATAATTTACATGCAAACCAAAACATTTTCGTACTTTTTAACCACACATTCCCAAAAATCGCTATTATAAAACTTATTTTCACAAAAAATGGGCTCAAACACACCTATATATATTCTTTAAAATGCATCAATACTAAGCATTGCTTGTGTAGGAATATGCAAGTCAGCAAGGAGTATTTGAGTCATTTCATCGTGACATGATGATCGGGTTTGGGCATTGGGAATTCGATCCTATGGATCTTGAGAACCATTTACCCGACAGTGAAGGTTCTGTTCATCTGTGGCACGGCGTTGAGGATGGGATGGTGCCTGTTTCACTGCAGCGCTACATTGCTGAGAAGCTTCCTTGGATACAATACCATGAAATACCAGATGCTGGACATCTATTTGCATATGCTGATGATAGCTTAAAAGATTCAATCTTGAAGACACTTTTGACAGGGGATAAGTAACTGCAGTATAGGTTGTTATATACTTCTTGACCCTCATTATTTCTCGGATAATATTTATACCGAGGCTTAATAAATTCCCTGAGATACAGTTCTGTACACCTTGATCCATTACATGGATCTTGGTCGATGATATTTGTACTTGTCCTGGCTATGTTCATGACGATGAGAAGATCCTCATATCAGTAGATTGTACTTGCGAAATTTTTCGTTTTAGCGTAGTATTGATGTTGGAACTGTTTGGAATACGTTTTCAAATTTCAAAAGAAATGAAGTGTTTTTGAGATAAAGAAAAGAAACCAAAAGACTAGATCTTTGAACAGGATAATGGGAATATTTGCTCATATAGGAGCTTAAGGGCTTATTATCCGAGATGCCTGCTTTAGTGGCCTTTGCCAAGCAACCAAGATTTCTTTCTTGTATCTCCTTAAGATGCCACTTGGAAAAGATCGAAGTGGATTCCTTGATGCTAAACGTATCTTAGATTTTCTTACTAGTTTGATAAATAAAATTGGCTTATGTGGAAAATGGTTACGTTGATATGGCTGATTTAAAAGTACCCCTTCATTGCCCCACAACAACCAACTTCATTTCCTCTATACAACCCATTCGTTGCCTCTTCTCCACAAAGAAAAATAATCAATTCCCAGACTCCGAACGACGAGCAAAGACAGTCCAACATCGAGTCTCAGGCTTCGCTGTTGTCGCCTTCCTCTTTCCACCCATTGCCGTTCGCGTATTGGGAACCCAGGTGCAGATCCCAACCCGTTGTAAGCAAGAAATCAGACCGTCCAAAACATCGGCAGAAGCTTCAAGACGAGGGCTCAATGAGAATAATATAATGGATGTTAAAAACTTTGAATTTTTAGTTTGTGGAATTAAAGTGTAAATTATATTTCATTTCTCGTTTTTATTTGATTAGTTCTTGTAATTGAAAAGACTTTCATTGCATCGAAACCCATGCACGTACTCGATTTATGATTAAAATTAAAATTTATCAGAATAAAATTCTAATAAATTACCTTAAATCAATGCTTCTTTAACGTCCATATAACACACAGACAACTTTCTTGGACTATGAATATGATTATTCTTCGTCAACCCCAAATGATCTTTAGTTAATTCAGCCTATGTTTGAGCCTAATTTTTGGTTTGAGTTTTGTAATAGTGAATTTTCGAAGAATGTACGGTTTAAAATGAATTTTAAAAAAAAAATTAAATTAATGGGATCAAACAGGGCTCAATTTCTACACAACTGCAGTCAAATTTAGCACAAGACCCTTTCATTTTAGTTTTGATCATTCTACTTAACAAGTTCAAATTTCATGACAAAACAGTGCAACCAACAAAAAGTAAAATTTATTCTCAATAAATTCGAAGTCAACATAACGTATAAACATTTCTTGGTAATAATAATAGACAAATTTGCTTAACACATAATTAGTACAAATAGCCTCAGTTAGTTAATATCCAACTCGCTTAAGAAAATATTTTTCAGCTCAACAGAAATATTTCTATTCTAATCACATTATCATAAGACAATCCAGAGTCCAACCTATCACGTTGGAAGGACGGACCTTAAATAGGCGAACCAATGTTACAAGAAAAAAACATGAAAGGCATTGTAATAACACAATCATGAGTCTAACCTATAACGTCGTCTTAGCTACTGAAGGTAGCGTTTTGAGAAGTGACAATGAAGGTCGTCGCACAGTGTGATTAAGAAGAATCATCAGAGTAAAAAGAGTTAGAGCTCCAGCTTGATGAGCTGTGCCTAATGAAACTGGTACATATGACAGAAGAGTCGATATCCCCAATGTAACCTTCACGAAAGCAAAGAAAATAAAGAATCAAATTATTTAAAAGAAAAGGCGAAAGTCTGCTTTAGAGTCGATAAGGGCATTATACTTCGGCAAACAACAAGTACCTGAAGAGCAGCCATGCCAACAGTGCTTCCTATTAAAGACCGGATTGCAGGATGTATATCTATTTTTCTTGTTACCCACCATAATCCACAAATTGAAAACAATGTTGCAGTGGCGAGTATTCGATGATCAAGCTGGTTAAATAATAAGAGAAATTCATCAGGAACAAATTGTCTAAATATAAAAATTAGCAATTAAAGAAAACGACTGTGAGTTGAAACACTGCTGATAAGTTATTTGAAAAATATTTCTTCGTCTCTGAGAAGGCTAACAATCATTAGATATTCAACTGTATCATTAGTGCTTACACTTGTATCAACTGCTTAGATGAAGAATTGCGTGTAGAGCATATGATGCAAGTGATAGAAAGTTAAATCATCCAAAAAGCTATAGTGATTACTGTAAAACAACCTAAGCAACTATAGCAATAATTCTAACACTTACATTTCTATTAATAAAACATCGTGCATTGGTAGAACTATGCATTGATAGAACTAATCAGCTGAGGAAAAATTAAAAATCATAGCAAACATTTAGGTTTAAACATGTAATCATGTACTTTAGACCATTTTAGCATCCGCTTGGGAAAAATTTATAAATGGTTAAAATTATAAATTGATGAAATAAGTTGTGGATAAATGAATGGTATTTTTGGGTCCATTGTAAAGTGTGGTTGAAAATGAAGTTGGATAATTTATAAATGATTTTTAAATTTTGCCAAACTAATCTCTACAAACTGAACTGTTCCAACCCCCCACCATCACGAAACAACAAGAAAGTTCACCATTTGCCAATTTTACATGTAATCATCACAATACACAATGCGGTTTACTGTCCCTCCAAGTAACCTATATAATTTTCTCAAAAAGGTAGTTATGAAAAGTCTGATGAAATATTAAACTACTTTACCAACCAAACCCAATCCACGAATTGGAAATCACTTTTGATATTGAATGGGCAACAAACCTGGACAGTTGATGTATTCTCAAAAAAATTGCGCATGAGTGGCTTCATTGTAAAAATATCATCTGGAATCCACGCATTGCCCATTTTTGGAAAAGTATTAAAGGCACGGCCCTGAAAATTTGTATGCAGTCACATTATAAGGTAATTTCTACATTTGCATGCAGATAAACAGAACGGAAGGGTAAAAAGCAGGTAACATACAGCGTCATTTCCAGCAACAAATGCTCCTGAAATTGCAGTGACTCCAACTAGGATACTTACTGGAAGGGCCAGACGCTTAACTTTAGCTGCCCCTTGAACCCAGGCTACGGATTCAGCAGGAGGCTCAGGCATAACAACAGAAAGAGCAGTCCAAAAGAGGCCAGAGTAAATAACAAATGCTGAAGTTAAATGAGCTGCTAGGCGATAAGGACTCACTCTTGGTTCACTAAACTCAGATTTGGGTTCCTAAGAGAAGGATAAAGAAAACATAATAACATAAAACAGCTCTTCATCCAAACCAGATTAATGTCATATAATATGTAAATACTAGTCAGTTGTTACCTCTAGACCACTTTTAACCATCCACCAGCCAATCAGTCCTTGCCCGGCACCAAGTGCAAATAGCCCACAGAGCCTAAATCCCAGTCGAGGTGTAATGTATCCTTTCCGAAGAAAGTAAGAAAATGGTAGGGCAAACATGATACCAAGCGCCCTTCCCCACATACGATGGGCATACTCCATCCAATATATGAACTTGAAATCAGCAAGACTCATCCCTTTATTTACACTGGAATGGCCATGAAATTAAATCAACTCACCAATACCCAGTAAAAACAACTACCTTCATGCTATGATTAGACAGCATTTAAATGCAACTACAGACACAGATTCCAGTAGCATTGTGATAGACCTGTTCGATTTGTGTATTCCAGACGTTGGAAGAGTGGCAAGAAAAGCAGATCAGTGGAGCTATGAACCGGATAACAGGGGATGTTTATGCACATGGCCCATGTATTCTGTTACCGCACTTTTGTTAATTGAGATAGGGGAGAGGGTAGCCTAAGAAATAAAGGTAATGTATTGTTGCCAAAGAATAAAAGGGGAGGGGGAAGGTTGTTCATTTTCATTCAGTATCTGAGAGTTGTGAGGAGAGAGCCAAACCTCTCAAAAGTTCGAATGTTTTTGCGCATAAAATTTCTTTAAGTCATTTCATTTTTGTACAGTCACCTCCCCCCAGATAGAACATTAAATGAAGAAAAAACGAGAATTCGTAAAATCCTCATAATCTTAAGGCTTAAAAACATTTCCTTAATCCTGATATGTCAAGACATTCTGGGAAAGGTAGACTCACTGATTATAAATAATCAATTGTAAAAGCACGCATAGTGGCATATGGACATACCGATTGTACTCAGGGGATTGCTTGTATTTCTCGAACTCAATTAACCATTCTTCATCAGAGATAGGAGGAAGGCTTCCAGTGAATTTCCAGTCAGTCATTGAAAGACCAGATCTAGTCAAACGTGTGATACCACCAAGTACTACCATACTAAAGACCCAAGCAGCAGATACAAAAAGCCAAATACCAACAGCTTTCTGAGCATGGGGTCCAGCAGTTACAAGAAGCTTTAAACCTTCTGTTTTTTTCACAGATATAGATGCTGCAGTGGAGAAATTCCTGAACGATCGCATATAAAAGTTCTGAAAATAGAAAGAAACCCTGTCCCCATGATTGTGGTCTTAAAACACAAAAGGTCATTAAATCAAGGAACAAGCCACTAGAGTATATAAAAGACAGTAAAACATTAAGCCCCTATTTGACAACCATTATTTTCAAACTCTCTTTTTTTTTTACTTTCTACACATGAATCTAAAACTTCTCCCTACTCTTTAACCACACATTCTAGAAATCACAATAAAAAATTCGATTTTCCACAAAAAATGATTGTCAAACAGGGGATAAAATGCAGTTCACATAAATAAGTGACTCTAACGAACGGAAAATCCAGGTTGTATTATGTAAATAGTTAAAGAGGTAGGTATATGTTTAACAAAAATCAGCCACATGAAACCTACTTTGTCACTCAGTTCAATATTGGACTAACTGTTCTTAATCATATCAAATCAAATCTTCTACAATCAGCTCGCACCATGTTAATCTTGGTCAACCACTCGCTACTCTAACTTGTTCTTGTGAGATTTTTGTCACTCTAGTCTTTAAGGTTTAAGTAAGACATGACCCATTCATCTAAGTCGTTCTTCTTTAATCCATTTTAATTGGTCGCCATTGCATATGCCTGGGGTTCTGCACAAGTGTATCACCATGGTATTAAGTATTTTGATTTGAATTGATTTCTTTCTACAGCTGAATAGAATAACCTGGTTAAAACATAATGATGACACATCTATGATGCATGTATGTCTACAGTAGGTCCTAGTCCTACTCATCTATCCTCTCCCCAAAGTCAATAACTACTCATAGCTATTACCTTAACACCAAAGAAGAATTCGATTCAACACTTTATTTATGTATGTTCCTTCATTTGTTACATTACCATTTCTTATCTTATCCACTCTAGTTTGTCGTTCATCATTCTTAACATCATCATTTGGGGACATTTGTACAATCCTCCGTCTCAATGCATTGAAATCAGTCAATTGGAGGAGTGCAACAAAGTTTAAAACCTCAAAGTGCTGAAAGGGATGTGAAGCCCTTCTCAATGTCTTCCAATTGCCCAATGCCTCACCTTTCCTCTATCTGAGCTTGAGGTATCCAGGCCGGCACATTTCGAGATCAAGTTTCACTTTCTTTCCTAGTTGGAGATCAGGACCCGGCGTCAAATCCACTAAAAGCATAAGTTGCTTTGAATTAGCGATCATATACTCAGCATTATAAAGCATAGAAGTCTGATAGCTGTTTTATAGAACTTCTCTATTAATAGGTATCTTCTAATCATATAGAATCTGTGTAGTCATTCTCCATTTTATCCGCAACCCACTCGTGTCTTATGCATTGCATTCTCTTAATCATTCTTTATTAGTAGTGGATCTCCAATACATAAAAATAATCACTATTTTGGATAAAAGGATCCACTATTTTCATTTCGCCTTTATTATTTCTTACTGCAACTTGAAGGACACTTCATGCATTTCTTATTTCTAGTTAATCTAGAACCTAGATTCTAAGGTACTCCGCCAGAATAACTATTGATTTATCCCTCATATGTTGGATATGTTTGATAAGTCCATTAAGGATCTACAATATAACCTATTGTAAGGAAATTCCCCAATTCTAACTCGGATAGATCTCACACTCGTAATTGCTTCGTCATATATATCATCAATAAGATTAATACATTTAGCAAAAAAATTAAATTAAATTAAAATTCCTCAACACCTATCAATAGCACTTCTTTCGGCCATGAATAAATGGAGGGGGTGAAAGGAACCAAACTTCGTCAATACAAAGTTGTGAGTTAGAGACCATTGAGTTTGGTGGAGGAAAAGAATCAACGGTATCTAGAAAGAATTATTAAACCTACCTTGGTATTGTTACGATGAAAGCTTCTGAAACCGTGGATAAGAAAATTTCGTGTAACGGCATTTCTGGAAGCAGGAATAAGGTCCGGAAATGAAGGGTGAAATCTCGATTGGATTAACAATGAAGATTCATTTGATAATCCATTTACAGTGGAAAATGTTTTCCATTCCCTCTGATTTGAGGACAAAAAACTTTTGCTGAAGGATTTAGTTTTCCTCAGAAGTGAAATTAATCTGTTTTCAATCATGATTCGTGAAATTTTTTTCTTCCAAGTCGCTGATGCAATTTTGGGATTTTGAGGGGTTGGAAAAATCTCAAATCAAAGGGTTTAAGAGCACACCGGTCGGTTCAGTTAAAAGAAAGTGGACGCTGAAAAAGAACTGGGCCATTTTAATAAACCGGGCCACAGAACAACGAAGTGAAAATTACATCACCTACCTTATTTTTAATAAATATATTTAAACAATACTTTGTGATATTTTTTTTCGAAAAATAAATACTGTAAAATCATAGTAAAAATAAAACATGATAATAACTAAATAAAAAAGGATAATAGTTTAGGTAACTTAATTTACTCCAACAAACACGCCCTTAAATAATCTATTGATTAATCTAGATATCCCTCAAATTTTGTCGACTCATGTTCCTCCCAAATCCTCTCCATTGAGGATCATCTTCCTTCCAAAACCCCTCTAAAATATCTTTCACAAATTGATCTCATATAGATCTCCCACAAGTTTTAATAACTAGTGTTATCGTACAAGGATTACAACCATGTAATTAGCCCCTAATTTTCACAAAGTGTATAATGCCCAAACATACCAAAATTTGACCTTCAATTTCTGAAATTGATCACAAGAATTGATTCAATGACAATTTACATACATAAACAAACGCGAAATATCGACAAATTTACAAATGAAATGCAACTTATTGAAAAACATATTCTGTGACATTACCGCGAAATTTTGACTTCAAATTTGAAAATATTTAATCTAGATTTTGCGAGTTCTTGCTTTCGATCGAACGAAGAAACTATAGTGTGTTTAAGTCCTGGATGCCATTGATATTCTTTACCCATCTTTAGTTTTTTGAATTTTTTTTTTTTAGACATTAAATGTAAGGCGTGAAGTGTGCATTATTCAAAAAAATTCAGTTACATATTGTTATTTATGTTCTATTATTAGAAGTTAATATTTTTTATTATATTTCATTTATGAAAAAGTACTTTTAGTCATTTAAACATTATGTAGTAAAACATGAAATAATACTGTGGAAATTACACAATTCCCTACTTTTGAAGATTCAAATTCTAAAATCAGATTTCATGTTTTTTTTTTTCAAAAGTCAGATATTTTATATATAAATACAGATTTTTTATATTTAATTAAATATTAATATTTTAATAATTAATTTCATCCCACCAAACCCTAATTATGTCACTTTCTCCACTCTCTCACCCTTTCCCCCCCTTATTTGCCCCTCCATCTCTCATCGCCTTCGAAGTGGTCAACACTCCGGCCAGCCCGAATTCATCGAAATGGGCGATGCGTATCCGCACGTAGAAGAAGGTAGCGTGTGCACCGTTTGGAGCTCCCATTGTCACCAGCTCTTCGCCGAATCGGCCCTTTGCAAGCTCAAATGCAATTTTTGATGACGCTGCCCTTACTTACAGCAGCGTTACGGTGAGGGGTGAGGCCGCTTCTTCTCTGCTAAGCTCTTTCGGTCGACGCAGCTGCGAACAACACGAGATCGACTCCAGTAATGGTAAGTTTGGTGCGGTGGATCTAGGTAGCGGTGTGGTGGGCGATGCTGCTACGCGACCTGCGATAGGCATTCGATCTGGTGGCGCTGAAGTTTTTGGGGGTGGTTTTTATTTGTTGTATTTGCATTTTTTGGCGATGGCGTTTATGTTGACGGCGCTCGTAAGGTGTTGGTGCTGCTTGTCCGATTGACACTGCTAACAATTTGAGAACTATGCATTTGATGCATCTGCTGCTCCTACAGCATTGTATTAATAGAAGCAGATGTTAGTGGAGAATGTTAAAATCTTGGCTTCTCCTCTATTTTGTTCGTTTTTATTGGTTGTTGGAGTAGTTTTTATTTGATGTATCAGGAACTTGGACCGCATAATGGACTAATTGTGACTGCGTAATGGATTAACCGTGACATTAAAATTCGACAATTTGTGACTAAAAATTAATCTGTGACCAATAAATTTGAAAATACGTGACTGATAAATAACTGTAACCTGTAATTTTTTGATATGTGACCAATAAAATAATCTATGACCTATAAAATTATTAATTTAGGAGAAATGAATTTTTTCCAATAATATTTTGTAATGATAGATACACGAATTTTTTCGCAGAACAAATGTCTTGGGTTGGGCCTTGAACGGAGTCATATATTGGGTCAATCAAGCTTTCGGCCGACAAGACAAAGGGAAGCCTACTGGTGTTGGGTTGCCCATTAGTTTTTTAGTTTTCCAAATCAAAATTTAAGGAAGGAAAGTTTATTCAAATACACCCCAAATAAATAGAAATGTAAAATATTTTTTATTACGAAAATATCGTGTTACATGTTGGGATAAAAATTCACATGTGTACAATATCGTGAACAAGAAAAGTGACAAATTAAATATAGTCTCACAAGGATTTAGAATTCAGTCAAAATTCAATTAAACCTAACTCTACATTGAAACATGTTTCGTGAGAGTGACGTTAAGATTTCATGGCTGTGCAGCTACAACAAAAAATTGAGAACCAACTTAGGTAACTTGGAGACCTTGATAATGTAATTTTCTATACCAAAATTCATTACATTGACTTCTATTTCCTACCATGATTTGATCTTTTCATATTTACCTATCTTAAAACGTCTCTAAAAAACTCTTTAAATATAAGATACTTTAAAATTATATTCCAAGAAACTCTTTAAATTAATATTTTAATTTAGGAGGGAAGTAAACCCACTCTCTATAATTAAATTCATTCAAAATATTTTAATTTTTAATGGAGGAAAATAATATAATAATTTGAATAGAAACCAGCAAAATATAAAAGAGTCCGTTGGAATTCTTAAAAAATTTTAATCCCTAAATTTATAGATGTTATTTAAACGAGTAATGCTATTCATCTCCAATGAGATTACAAGCACAGTTTATGTGATTCTAAATGATATGTGAAATGATAGGTGAAATTAAATAATATGAATAACATTACTCCTTTTCTTTCACCTTTTAAAAAATTAGGTTTTCATGTTTTTTTTTTTCATTTATCAGGTTTTTTTATCTTTTTTTTATATTTAATTAAATATTGATATTTTAGTAATTAATTTCATCCCACCAAACCATAATTACGTCACTTTCTCCACTCTATCTCCCTTTCTCTATCTCCCTTTCCCCCCCTCATTTGCCCCTCCATCTCTCATCGCCTTCGAGATGGTCAACACGCCGGCCAGCCCGAATTCATCGAAATGGGCAACGCGTCTCTGCACGCAGAAGAAGGTAGTGTGTGCACCGTTTGGAGCTCCCATCGCCACCAGCTCTTCGCCGAATCGGCCCTTCGCAAGCTCAATTGCGATTTTTGATTACGCTGCCCTTACTTGTAGCAGCGTCACGGCGAGGGGTGAGGCCGCTTCTTCTCTGCTGAGCTCTTTCGGCCAACGCAGCTGCGAACAACACGAGATCGACTCCAGTAATGGTAAGTTTGGTGCGGTGGATCTAGTTAGCGGTGTAGTGTGGCGATGTTGCTACGCGACCTGTGGTAGGCGTTCGATCTGGTGGCGCTGAAGTTTTTGGGGTGGTTTTTGTTTGTTGTATTTGCATTTTTTGGCGGTGGCGTTTATGTGGACGGCGCTCGTGAGGTGTTGGTGTTGCTTGTCCAATTGACACTGCTAACAGTTTGAGAACTATGCATTTGATACTTCTGCTGCTCCGGCGACATTGTATTAACAGAAGCAGATGATAGTGGAGAATGATAAAATCATGGCTTCTCCTCTATTTTGTTGGTTTTTATTGGTTGTTGGAGTGGTTTTTATTTGATGTATCAGGAACTTGGACCGCATAATGGACTAATGGATTAACTGTGACATTAAAATTCGACAATTTGTGACTAAATATTAATATGAGCCAAGTGCAAAAATATTTTGTAACCTGTGTTGTGATCATTTGAAAATAACTCGTAACTATGAACAAAATCATGATTTGTGATCTGGACTGTGACTTGTAACTTAAGTTGTGACCTGTGAATTGGACTGTGACCTAAGTTGTGACCTAGGATGTGTTAAAATATCTGATTTTTGAAATGTGAAAGTTGTTTTGTTATTTTTGAAATAAGGTAAAAATAAAGTATGAGAAATGAATTTTTCCCAATAATATTTTGTAATGATAGATATAAGAATTTTTTCGCAGAACAAATGTCTTGGGTTGGGCATTGAACGGAGTCATATATTGGGCCAATCAAGCTTTTGGCCCACAAGACAAAGGGAAGCCTACTGGCGTTGGGTTGCCCATTAGTTTTTTAGTTTTCCAAAACAAAATTTAAGGAAGGAAAGTTTATTCAAATACACCCCAAATAAATAGAAATGCAAAATATTTTTTATTACAAAAATACCGTGTTACATGTTGGGATAAAAATTCACATGTGTACAATATCGTGAACAAGAAAAGTGACAAATTAAATATAGTCTCACAAGGATTTAGAATTCGGTCAAAATTCAATTAAACCTAACTCTACATTGAAACGTGTTTCGTGAGAGTGTCGTTAAGATTTCATGGCTGTGCAGCTACAACAAAAAATTGAGAACCAACTTAGATAAGTTGGAGACCTTGATAATGTAATTTTCTATACAAAAATTCATTACATTGACTTCTATTTCCTACCATTATTTGATCTTTTCATATTTACATATCTTAGAACATCTCTAAAAAACTCTTTAAACATAAGATACTTTAAAATTATACTCCAAGAAACTCTTTAAATTAATATTTTAATTTAGGAGGGAACCAAACCCATTCTCTATAATTAAATTCATTCAAAATATTTCAATTTTCAATGGAGGAAAATAATATAATAATTTGAATAGAAACCAGCGAAAATAAAAGAGTCCGTTGGAATTCTTAAAAAATTTTAATTCCTAAATTTATAGATGTTATTTAAACGAGTAATACTATTCATCTCCATTGAGGTTACAAACACAATTTATGTGGCTCTAAATGATAGGTGAAATTAAATAGTATGAATAACATTACTCCTTTTCTTTCACCTTTTAAAAAATCAGGTTTTAATGTTTTTTTCTCATTTATCAGGTTTTTTATCTTTTCAAAAAAAAAAAAAAAGATTTTTTTATCATTTTAATTAAATAATTAATCATTTAAAACCCTAATTTAACAATTTACCCCCACCCTCCCTCTCACATCGTTTCTCTCTCCCTCCCTACTTTCTCCTCCTCCATTTCTCTCTCCCTCCGTGTCGGTTCACAGCAGCGTCGATGCTACGAGAATCGCTGCTGTGGATTGCACAGCAGTCGAACGCTGCTGTGTGATTCACAGTAGCGTCGACGCTGCTGGGATTCACAGCAGTGTCGAACGCTTCTGTGCGATTCGACGATGCTGTGAGATTCAGGTGGGTTTGTTGTAGACCTTGATTGTTAAACTGACTCATTTGTGTCCTCGAATTTTTTTTGGATCGACGGGGATCTGCTGTTGAAGTTGAGTTCCGACCTTGATTGTTAAACTGACTCATTCGTGTCCTCGAATTTGTTGTTGGATCGACGGGGGATCCTCCTTCTTGCCCTGGGTGTGGGGCGGATCTGTGTGTGTGACTGTTGTAGCGGATCTGTTGTTGGTGGAGGATCTGTGTGTTGGCGGATCTGTTGGTGGTGGTTTGGGCTAATCAGTGGTGGTTTGGGTGGTGGTTGTTGTTGGTG